CGAACACTGTCACGCAAACACCAGGTACACAAGACACCTGAATCGTGGAACGTAAGGTTCCGGCAATTTTATCCCCTTCTTACTGTGAATTAACGTGATTTCCAAACAGATCAAACACCAGACAGCACCTCATATTGTTAAAATAGTAAAAATCATTGCTGTGCATTTTTAAATACACTGATGAATCACAGAATCATGGAATGGTTTGGGTTGGAAGGGACCTTAAAGATCATACCTGCCATGGGCAGGGACACCTTCCACTAGACCAGGTTGCTCCAAGCCTCATCCAGCCTGGCCTTGGACACTTCCAGGGATGGGGCATCCACAGCTTCTCTGGGCAACCTGTCCCAGTGCCTCCCCCCCCTCTGCGGGAAGAATTCCTTCCTGATGTCCCATCTCCTCCTCCCCCCTTTCAATTTAACCCCGTTACCCCTTGTCCTGTCACTACAGACCCTTGTAAAAAGTCCCCCCCAGCTTCCTTGTAGCCCCTTCAGGTACTGGAAGGTGCAATAAGGGCTCCCCGGAGCCTTCCCTTCTCCAGGCTGAACAAGCCCAACTCTCTCAGCCTTTCAGAGAGAAGCCAGGCTGGATGCTGCAGCCCAAGAAGCTGCACGGGCACGTAGCCTGGGGGCACCTTTCTGACATCTGCCTTTCCCAACACGGGGAAGTTCTCCTTTGGCCTTGCTCGCTAATTAAAAGTCAGATCCTGGCTCAGAGAAGAGGTGCTCAGCCCTCAGAGTTAAGCGGTGAGTCACGGTGGCAGCTAAATATGCCCAGCACCTCTAATGACTCACGGGTCAGGTGAGAGGAGCAAAATGATGGGGAGCAGCAATTCTCATTTGCATGTGTATTTTACACCTTCTTCATTCATTGTCCTCAGGAAAGAGCAAAGGCGGCTGCAATCGGTGATCGAGTCAACGCTTTGGCTTGATGGGAACAACTCCCAGGGGAAGATGTGTTTCTCTAGTGTGCAAAAGTAAAATCAGTCTCACAGCGGGTCTTAGCAGTAATCACAGATCTCCTAAGGAAGTTAAGCTTATCACCAAGTCCACAACCTTGCTTGATGGGCATCCCGACGTGCACTGAAGTCTCCTAAGTGGTGTTCTCAGCAGAGAAAAATTAGAACTTGTCAGTCTTGTTGCACCCTCCCTACAAAACAAAGATCCTCTCCGGCTCTGCAATTCTTTACTCATTCCTTGGCCAACTTATTTCCCAAGTATACCAAAGCACCTTGAGCAAAGACTTCTGTTTGAAGACAGAAGGGCTTGTTCAGCCTGGAGAAGGGAAGGCTCCGGGGAGACCTTATTGCAGCCTTCCAGTGCCTGAAGGGGCTACAGGGAAGCTGGGGGGGACTTTTTACAAGGGCAGGGAGTGACAGGACAAGGGGTAATGGGGTTAAATTGAAAGTGGGGAGATTTAGACTGGACATCAGGAAGAAATTCTTCCCAGAGAGGGTGGGGAGGGACTGGGACAGGTTGCCCAGAGAAGCTGTGGATGCCCTATCCCTGGAAGTGTCCAAGGCCAGGCTGGATGAGGCTTGGAGCACCCTGGTCGAGTGGAAGGTGTCCCTGCCCATGGCAGGGGGTTGGAACTGGATGATCTTTAAGGTCCCTTCCAACCCAAACCATTCTATGATTCTGTGAGTCTAAAAAGCGTTGATTACCTGAATATGGAGGTGCTACAGAAATATTAAGCACCAGCAGCACTTTCTTAGGGAATTAATTTCCTTCCACCAGTTGCAAAAGGGTCGCTATGAAAGCCTAGCCGCTTCCCTGTTTATGTTTTTTAAAAATCACACTTTTGGTTGGAGAGTTCCCCTATGTAAATACTTCTACACTTGTTCTTTTCATGCATCCACAAAACTCAAAATCTTAACTCACTTCAGGTCCACTCACACAAAAAGGGTCTCCTACCGCTTTATAAACAGAGGTATAAAGGGAGTTTTTTGCACCCTCCAAGTTAGCTGCCCAGTTTAACCGGAAGCAGTTTAAAGCAGCAACCTAGCTTAGATGCTCTCAGCCATCCCACGAAGATCCTGCTCTCTCCACTGACTATAAAGGCAGTTTCAGGTGTATTTATTCAGCAGCAGCTAGCTAGAACAGTACTCCACCTCCCCAAGGCAGTTCAGTCCCACATCATTTCTGGGTTTGCAGCCCTGAGACCTACCGTGGGGCCAGATTCACCGTAAGACTCTGAAACTGTAAGAAAGTCAGAAGCCAACTCAGAACATTGGCTGGAGCCCAAGGGCCAACATAGTTTGAGGACTTACTCCCCGGTCAGAATTGGAGAGGCGGTTGCTGGTGAGGAACACTAAATACCTCCGTGGCAGGCTACGGTCAGCCTGTACTGGTTGAAACTGCACAATCACATCCTTTTTATCAGATTAACTGGGACCAGAAGATGCAGTGGGCTGATCAAGACAAAGTATTCTAGGAAGAAAATTTAGAATTATGGCAAGAGGAGGATGGCAGATTGATGAGCCCTTCAGTGACGCACAGTTCAGACTGTATAGCTCAGCACAGCACTGTCACTGGAAAGACAGCATTGGAGAAAGAAGCATGGCTCAGGTTTAGGACAAAACAAAGAAATAACTGGACAAAAGGGGAAAAAACGTGTTCGCAATGAGGTGGACTGAAGCAGGCTTCAGATAGGTGCTGCACTGGTTTAATGCTGAGATAACCTTTTTAAGAAGCATCTTGGCTGAGGGTCTTTTTCCCCATTAGGGAATCACTGTACAAAATCTTAAATTAACTCATGATTTGCACAAGGAGGAAAAATGTCAAGGTTACCATAATCACACTCAAAGTAAGGAGCGAGGGAGACCAGCTCTCAGGTTACCACCCACCGCATGTGCCCACGATACAAACCAAGTAAAACATGGAGCACTGGGACAGGTTGCCCAGAGAAGCTGTGGATGCCCCATCCCTGGGAGTGTCCAAGGCCAGGCTGGATGAGGCTTGGAGCAACCTGGTCTAGTGGAAGGTGTCCCTGCCCATGGCAGGGGATTGGAACTAGATGATCTTTAAGGTCCCTTCCAACCCAAACCATTCTGTGATTCTGTGATGGTCAGCGTTCCCCATGTAGCGTGGTCTGTGTAGGTGGAAGCAGCAAGGGAGAAGGGCTGAATCCTCATGCACAGACAAATAAATTCAACCTTGACTGTTTATTCCAAGTGTCGCTGACCATCTCAAAACATTACTGCAGTGACACAGTACAAGAAAATGCAAGAAGCACAAAAAGTAAAAGGACTGATTCATCTTGAACCCAATTTTCTCCACTCTAGAACATTTAGGCAGCGCAACTTGACTGACTCCCACATACCTCCATTTACTAAGCATTTAACATGAGTTTTACATTAAAAATATTTCTCTAGCTGCTGGGAAAAAAAACCCACAAATAGTTAGTGCAGGTTTTTTCACCCTGCTGGATCTGCGTGCTTGCGAGGCATTACAATAATTTCAGAGTCACTTCATTTTTCCACGCACTGAAAATTATTTGATCACACTGTCTGTGTCATGACTACGTTCCTCAACCTGCACAGCGAAGGCCAGGCTACTTGAAAAGCAATTTTAGGTACAATAAAATTAGCTAGATGCCCGCAGCAGCAAAGATCATATGGAATAACCGCATCCTGAACCACCTGACGTGGTTAATTTAAACAGACAACCCGTAAAATCCTCCCTCTCCTGTTAATGAGCTGTGTCCTTCAGTGCTCACAACCAGGACACCAGAGCAAAAGAAAAGCAGTTATTTTCCCAAGCAGTCTGTGATTTTATCTCGATAAAACCCACTTGGAAAGAGCAGCGTAGGACTTTTTGTCTGGTCTTTGAATGGTAAGAGAAAAAAAAAACCCAAAAAAACCCAGCAGAAGGGTTTGCTGCCCTCCAGAGGGGAACCGGATGGAATTACAGCTTTAAAATCCGAAGGAAGACATGGAGCTGGACAAGGGCTGGTCCTACTCAGTTTTAAAACCCTTCCTTTAGTAGATAAGGGTATCAAGAAAAATCCACTGCACTGAACGACGACAAGGTAGCAAAGTAAAACTGCCAGTAGGGATGCTCACCGAGATTTAAGAGCTCCAAAATGTCAAATCATTCTCATTTTTCTTCGTTTTATACCACAAAATGCAGCGGAAAGTTACGTATTTAACGAGCCAACACACAAGTAAATTAATCAACCTCTGATTTTCCGTTCATCAACTGTACAATGAGAAGAATCTCCCCGTCGCACTGAAATACTGCAAGGGTAACTGCGTTTGAGACTGCAAGGGGCTCGGTGCTCCTGAGCACTGACGCTCTCGGGGGTGAGTCATCCCTTACGGGAGCTGACGTCTGGCCTCCCTCCAAGCCAGGATCAGTTCCCCTTCCCAGCTAAAGGAAATAAATCCCACGGCAATGTGATTCGTCACAACTCCAAACCAAGGTGATGAGGCATAAAAGGCAGAAGTCCAGATGGAACGCCGAAAAATTAGAAGCAGCGTAGCATTTCATTTGACAGGACAAGGGGTAATGGGTTTAAATTGAAAGTGGGGAGGTTTAGATTAGATATCAGGAAGAAGTTCTTCATGGAGAGGGTGGTGAAGCACTGGGACAGGTTGCCCAGAGAAGCTGTGGATGCCCCATCCCTGGGAGTGCCCAAGGCCAGGCTGGATGAGGCTTGGAGCAACCTGGTCTAGTGGAAGGTGTCCCTGCCCATGGCAGGGGGGGTGAAACTGGATGATCTTTAAGGTCCCTTCCAACCCAAACCGTTCTATGATTCTATGATTTCCTCCAAGACAGATTAGATGAACCACAGTCCGACCTTCTGCTGATGCTACGGAGCAACGCTGCGGGATGAGCTCTAAATATCCCGTGTCTAACTACATATTTGGATGAACATTTAAAAAAAAAAAAAAAAAAAAAAAAAAGAGTCCTGAATTTTTGTCTTCAGTATTTTCACTTCTTAACACCAGTTAAAGGCCACTTTTAAACAGTTACACAAAGGAAAACCAAGACACTTACTTGATGGCCTCTGCTACGTTATTGGAAGTGTGACCCGATAAGGCATCGTGAAGGTTTCGGATGAAGTAATCTCTGTAGTCTTCAGGCAGGGACATGAATGTTCCACCCATGACAATGAACTCTACTTTATCCACGCTGTGGCCCAACTGCTTCAGCTGTGAATTAAAAGCATCGGGAAAAAATTCCTGATCAGGGACTTATCTAAAGGACTTTTCTGAAAACCCTGCTCCTACACTGCATTTCCTCCTTCAATTGTCTCATCTTTTACAAATGACAAATCATTAATACTTTTGTATAGATTTCTTACAATCCACCCTCCCAAAAAACCCTCAAAAGTGATTTTTCTACTCCAAGAACACAGCACAGATATCGAGCCCAGAGTAACAGGTTTTCTTGGCAAAGCAGCATCTTGCCGATGGAGTCACACTCGTTCCGGTTTGAAGGTAGCTTAAGTATGGCCAGCAGGAAAAGTTTCCTTGTGTCTGTCTCAATCCATGTAGAACCAATTTGCCTTAAAAACTTGTAGGAGAAAAGGACCAGACTGAATCTTTGGAGAATCCCCCCCGTGGAGGTTGGAACTAGATGATCTTTAAAGTCCCTTCCAAACCATTCTGTGATTCTATGATTTTCCAATGGATTTGGATCCATGTAGAATTTTCCAATGGATTTGGAGATAAACAGTAATCCAATCAAAGCAAAACAGGATTGAGAAACTCTTCAGCTCATCTAACTCCCCAGTGAAGACCCCACAAATGAAATCGTTTTGGTAGGAAAGCCACTTCTTCCATGCTAAATTCTCCATGTAAGTCATTACCAAGAACAAGGAACCACCACAAAAAATTCAATACAATTTTGTTGCAATAGGGTCTCCTATCAGTAATCAGATATTGTTCAGAACAGAGGAGATCTTAAGAGGTTCAAAACATGTCATTTACCTAATCGAAATGACAATTAAAAGTTTAAAAATAATTAATCTATGGGGATCAAGCCAGACTGACATAGAATAATAGAATCATGAAAGTCGAGGTTGGCAGGGACTCCAGAGGGCATCTAGCCCAGTCTCTCTCCTCCAAGCAGCATCAGCTACAGCAGTTTGTTCAGAGCTCTGAGTATCTTGCAGGATGGAGACTTCCCAGAGAGGGTGGGGAGCACTGGCACAGGTTGCCCAGAGAAGCTGTGGATGCCCCATCCCTGGAAGTGTCCAAGGCCAGGCTGGATGAGGCTTGGAGCAACCTGGTCTAGTGGAAGGTGTCCCTGCCCATGGCAGGGGGTGGCACTGGGTGGGCTTTAAGGTCCCTGTCAACCCAAACCATTCTGGGATTTCATGAGACTGCACCACCTGTCTGGGGAATGTGCTCGGTCACCCTCACAATTAAAAACTGTTCCCTGATATTCAGATGGAATTTCTGACATTTCAATTTGTGCCCACTGAGTCCTGTCCTGTTCTGTCACTGGGCACCACCGAGAAGAGCCTGGCTCCATCTTCTCTACAGCCTCCCACCAGCTATTTATACACATTGCTAAGATCCCCCCAGGCCTTCTCTTCTCCAGCCGAAACAGCCTGGATGCGCTCAGCAGCTCTTCACATGCTTCAGTCCCTTCAACATCTTAGAGGCCTTTTGCCAGACCTGATCTGGGCACAGTTCTTCAGGCGGAGTCTCAGTAGGGCTGAAGCGAGAAAAGGATCTCCTTCCTTGACATGCTGGCAAGACTCTTAATGCAGCACAGGAGGCTGACGGTCACCTTTGCCTCAACGGCACTACGCTCCTTTTGGTGAACTCGGTGTCCACTGGGTCCTTGTCTGACAAGCTGCTTCCCCGCTCAAACCCCAGTATGTACTGGTGCCTGGAGTCGTCCCTCCCCAGGAGCAGGACTTGGCATTTCCCCTTGTTGAACTTCAAGAGGTTCCTGCCAGCCCGTTTCTCCAGCCTGCCCAGGTCTCTCTGAACGGCAGCATGATCCTCTGGTGTATCATCCACTCCTCCCAGTTCCGTATCACCTACAGACGTGCCGACAGCATGCTCTGTCCCAACATCCAGGTCACTGACAGCACGGTTAAACACTACTGGCTCCAGGACTGAGAGTTTGGTTGTACCACTAGAGACTGGTCTCCAACTGGACTTGGTGCTGCTGATCACAACCCTTTCAGCCCACCAGTTCAGGCAATTAAAAGCATTATCGTTATTGTAATCACAATCACATCGCATTCCCCTTTCACTGTAAAACTGTACCTGTTCCACTCTGTGTCTTGTCTGGAGGTAAGGGTCATACCTAGCCCGAATGGCCCTCATAGAAGTTGGCTAAAAAACACAAGAAGATTCATTTTGTGAACTTTTTTAGAAAAAAACATAGTGAAAAACAATAAAAGACAATGTTTAGCACCAAAATGCTGAAGTCTTCAAATCCTGATGGGACCCTGTAGTCTTCAAACTCGCAACAAAAAATCCAACCAACCAAAAATTTAAATTTGGCTCTTTAACACATCTTCTTATCCTTAGACAGTAACATAACATAAAGAGAATGACCCAATTTTTCATGTTTTTAGGGCATTTAGGGCAGGATGCATAAAGAAGCAGATACGGAATCTGCTCATTTTGCTTTTTCTTCGCTGTCACAACAGTTCTCCAAGAAATGGCCTCTAGAACTCAACCTAAACTTCAAATATTCTTTCCTCTAAACATATTCTTTCACTTGAAATCCCTAATAACTTACTTTTTATATTACTAGCTGATGTAAGCCTATTAATAATACTCTAAGAGAAGGTTTTCAAGTATCTTGTGCATCCTGGGTTTATTTGGTATTTCATAGCTGCTATATTAAAAGCTCTAGAGGATGAGGACTCTTTAAATCATGCAGAACTCCCACATGCTGTTAGTATTAAACAAATGAACACAACATACCCAAACAACATGAACTATAAAGCAATATAAATATACACAGGATTTTCCTACTTTGCACTAATGGGACAAGTTTGAAACTACTGAAAAATGGTTAACAGACAAAATCCATACTAAAAGGATGCTGAATCACTGTTTACCAAATTAATCCCATTTGTATTTTACCTCATTTTACTATTTTGTATCTGTACAATAGCTACAAGCTCTTTTCGGAAAAATCAGTCACAATAATTCAGTCACAAAAAGATCTTCTGCTATTAAACTTCCAGCAGATGACAGCAAAGTGTTATTTTGGTTATATATATTTAGTGAGCTAGCACTGCAGATAGAATCACAGAGTCATGGAACAGTTTGGGTGGGAAAGGACCTCAAAGCTCACCCAGTCCCACCCCCTGCCATGGGCAGGGACACCTTCCACTAGACCAGGTTGCTCCAAGCCTCATCCAGCCTGGCCTTGGACACTTCCAGGGATGGGGCATATAGATACAGCACGTAAGGGAACAGATGTCATTTCAGAGGACCTAACGGGTAAATAATGGTCTTTTTTCCAAAGCTTGACCTTTGTGGATCCACAGGGTCCTGTAGACTGGACAGAACTGAAAGCAGGTCCAGTTAGGAGAGGATGCTCAGGGGCTGTGTCCAGTCAATGACTATTTTATAGGACAGAAATCCCAAAACCTCTCTGCATCCCTAACTCAAGTGTTTGATGACTGTCACGTCAAAATAGCCTTTTCTTACATTAAAGCACAATTTCCAATATTCCCACTCATGTCTGTTGCCTCTCATTTTCCCACTGGGCAGCACTGAAAAGGAGTCTGGCTCTGCCCGCTGTGTACCTTTCCCTTAAACCCACATGGAGCCACAGATAAAACTCTCTGTTCCTGCGGGACTGTTTAGTTAGGATGTTGATGCGGATTGATGACTGCTGTAGGAATCACCGCTAGCATTGATTTCAACTCGCTGCATGCAGCAGTGTCCCAGGGGAGAGAGCAAAGTCACCTCCAACTGCTCTTACTCTCTCATCGCCTTCCACAGCTGGAGATGCACAGTAACAGCAGCTCCCACAGCAGCACGTCACGGGGTGCAGCCATGACGCGGCACTCGCCCCGCTCAGAATCACACGCTGCTCGCTCTGCTTGACAGCACATTACACGTGTAACAGCAGGAACAGCAGCGAGGTGAGGAGAGAGCAACAACTGCTACAATAATTAAGGTTAAGAAGGACCAGGGCAGGGATCGTCCCCCTGTGCTGGGCACTGGGGAGGCTGCACCTCGAATCCCGGGGTCAGTTTGGGCCCCTCATGGCAAGAAAGACCCTGAGGGGCTGGAGCGTGTGCGGAGAAGGGAACGGAGCTGGGGAAGGGGCTGGAGCACAATTCCTGTGAGGAGCGGCTGAGGGAGCTGGGGGGTTCAGCCTGGAGAAGAGGAGGCTCAGGGAGACCTTATCGCTCACTCCAGCTCCCTGAAAGGGGGGTGCAGAGAGGGGGGTCGGTCGCTTCTCCCAAGGGACAAGGGATGGGACAAGAGGAAACGGCCTCAAGTTGTGCCAGGGGAGGTTTAGGTTGGATATTGGGGAAATTCCTTCCCGGAAAGGGCTGTCAGGGTTGGAAGGGGCTGCCCAGGGCGGGGGGAGTCCCCACCCCGGGAGGGGTTTCAGAGCCGTGTGGCTGTGGGGCTCAGGGACATGGTTAGTGGGGGCTGGGCAGTGCTGGGGTAACAGTTGGGCTTGATGATCTTAAAGGTCTTTTCCAACTCAAACAATTCCATGATTCTTAAGATTTTCCAGTCCTGTAGTTGAGCTGCTTTAGGTCGCACAGCTTATGAAGGCTGCTTTTTTAATTTTTGCAATACGGGTGAGTTTGCAAAACCAAAGAGCAGCCTAAGCCACGTTTACATGTTTACAGGCAACGCGTTACAGCAGACAGAGTTTAATACCTCATATCCGGTGTAAGACTGTGTTGAATATTCAAAATCAGAATCAGGTCCACCTGGGCAGTATCTGCAAACATTAAAAGACAGACAACAGGCATCAAACTCTTACAATCGCAATGACTTCATCTGTCTGGGGTTAAGGGTACACAAGAGGGTACAGGCTGAGCGAACGCTGCTCTAAGCACCCCACCTCCCACCAGAAACACGGGGGAATACAAATTCCAGACAGCCTGACCACAGCAACATGCCAACCGCTCTCCTGGCATTCGGGAGTTCTCAGACAGGTGAAAACAAACCCACAGAAGGAATGCCTTAGCAGCTCAAGCACTTAATGCTGCTCTACAGCTTCCAGACTAAAGCTGCCTCGTGCCTGGTCAGCTCAAAGCATGGGGTGAATGAACAAATTCCAGTGTTTCTTCACCACCCGCTGTAAATACAGGCACAGAGCCAAATGCACGTGCTGGAGAGAGCGATTGTGTGATACCCAGTAACAGAGAGGAACTGTGTGTGCTTACAAATGCCAAGTACAGAGTGCAAAACCGCTGTTTCGTGTTAATGAGAACGGGATGTCAAAGAACAGTTCAGACCTGTCAAATGGCTGCATCCGCAAAAAACAACTTGGTAAGACTCAGGAGAAGCAAAATGTACTGTGAAGATATTTCTGGAACATGATGTTATTTTAGGGAGCTGCCATACAGTTTGGGAGCGATAGTTCATAGAATCCCAGATCGGTTTGGGTTGGAAGAGATGCCGAGGCCCACCCCAGTCCCACCCCCTGCCATGGGCAGGGACACCTTCCAATAGACCAGGTTGCTCCAAGCCTCATCCAGCCTGGCCTTGGACACTTCCAGGGATGGGCCATCCACAGCTTCTCTGGGCAACCTGTCCCAGTGCTCCCCACCCTCTCCAGGAAGAATTTCTTCCTGATGTCCCATCTCAATCTCTCTCTTCCCATTTAAACCCGTTACCCCTTGTCCTGCCACTACAGGAAGTTCCCCTCCAGCTTACTTGTAGGTCCCAAATAGTTAAGCACAGATCATTAGATTTTAAAAAGTAATTTGCAGTCACAAGCAATTTCATTTTCCACCACTCTAACAAAAACACTGTCTCATTCCATGTAAAATATGACTGCTGTTTGGCATGGAAAGATGCAAAATAGAGACATCCTGTTACACAACCTGCATTTCTTTTCCAGAACTTTATAGAATGGGAATATCTTGATGGTGAGAAAGCTCATTTACATTTGTTTTCTGAACTTAGGAACATGCTGTGTAATGAAAACAGCGTTATATGACTGCTTCAGAAGAACACAGTCCCTCTACTCGTGGTATTAAACAACACCTTCCGCATCGAGAGGCTTGTCTGAAACTCTTATTCTGCAACACAGCAGAGTTGGAGCTATCACAGCGCGACTGCCAGCCAGGAGAGGAACAGCGCACGGCCATAGTAATTAAAAGGAATATAAATGCCTTCTGGATGGTGCTCGGCTTTCTTTAGAGGCCTGTGGGATTAACGACCGACCTACAGTCATTCTGTGCTCAAAGATGACCTGAGACAGGAGGGTTGACGACTCCACGTTAGCTGCAGGCAGTGAGCACCTCCGACAGACGCGGTAATAGAGCCGTCAGTGTTTTGTTACTTGCGGCGCGGATCTCAAAGGCACAGGCTAAGATAATGCCACCTCTATCAAATCAGACACGTTCAGTTCACAGCATAATTGATTAGTTTCCTCACTGCCTGCCCTGCAAACTCAGCCAGAGTCATCTGTCACCATTATAAAATTAATTACCAAATTACTGTGGCCAAATTAATTCACTGGCAAAAGTTGTGCAATCCCACTGAAGACATTTCAGATATGTAATTACCTGGAACATCTCTGACAGAGTAACTGCTCAGGGGAAAAACAAGAGTGGAGCCAGCACACTCGGTGTTAGGCAGCTGGTAGTGAAATACTCGGATGCCTCGGGAGTGACAAGGCGGGAAAGAAAAGCTACGTTTTGCAAGAGATGGACTGATATGGTTGGAATAAAAAAAGCAGATGATATTTCGGGTGCACAGACTCTTAAAGGTAACATACTTCAAGGTAAACCCATCTTGGGTTTTGTTATAGAATCACAGAACGGTTTGGGGTTGGAGGGACCTGAAAGATCATCCAGTTCCAACCCCCCTGCCATGGGCAGGGACACCTTCCACTAGACCAGGTTGCTCCAAGCCTCATCCAGCCTGGCCTTGGACACTTCCAGGGATGGGGCATCCACAGCTTCTCTGGGCAACCTATCCCAGTGCCTCCCCACCCTCTACAGGAAGAATTCCTTCCCGATATCCAATCTAACCCTCCCCACTTTCAATTTAAACCCATTACCCCTTGTCCGGTCACTCCCTGCCCTTGTAAAAAGCCCCCCCCAGCTTCCTTGTAGCCCCTTCAGGTCTTGGAAGGCTGCAATAAGGTCCCCCCAGAGACTTTATTTTTTTCTCAATTACAATACAATTCAGAAGTTATTCCCGCAACTCTTGGCAGCCAGAGGCCTTCCCAGCCATCTGTGCTCTCGTTCTGCTCCAGAGCCAGACTGTTGCACCCAGCGAGGCTTTGCAGACACCACCTGCACCTCCTCAGGTGGGTCTCAGTTCAGCAGTTCTCAAATTTTCAGACTGAGCCCCGTTTCCTTTCTGTAACAGTCTTCTCCAACCTACCCATGGCAGGGGGGTTGGAACTAGACGATCTTTAAGGTCCCTTCCAACCCAAACCGTTCCGTGACAGCCTGCCTACATACCCAGCCCTATGCACAACACACCTGCACACCCTGACGAGGTAATACAACTTACATTCCATCCTTAATGTAATACCCTGGTCACTACATTCAGGAAAGCAGGATTATACTACAGGTGAGCAGGCTCTGGCCCATAAAAGAAAGAGGTGTGCTGCATGAAGAGAAACTGAAGAGTATGGGTTTTTAAGTGTAACGTGCAGGTATCAGCACTCTGCAACTCCGAGCTCGTGCAGCAAGGATGCTTGTCCCAACACAGTGCTACTGCAATACCAAATGTAAACAGAACAACAGCCCCCTTGGCGACTGCAACACCAGATTTATAGGGACAGAGTGGAAAACAGTCCCCGTAGGTCATCCGAGCCGTCATACTTACACACATATGTTGCCTGTGAAGTTAATGTGTGGGCACCTGTGCGGTTTACACATCACAGCCACCACAGCAATCTGTAGGAAGCAAAGTCAGAGAGGAGAAAAATTGCAGTAATTGCTTTGATGTTACTAAAAATAAAGTGCATCTTGGAAGGCTACGTACACACGTGCATCTGCGAGAGACTATTTAAAGATGTTTTCTGCTTAGTCTGCCACCTGGAGTATCTGTGCGTTAACTCTTGGGGGAGATACCAAATATAGCAAGAAACAGGAATCTTATCATTTAAGATGTTCACAATTCAAAATAATCTATTATAAAGAATCAGGTGTCTTACGCCAAATCTGATTAATCACCCTGGTGAAAAGATACAGGTGGACATTCAGGCATTCCCTGGGAGCATCAGGGCAGGGATCGTCCCCCTGTGCTGGGCACTGGGGAGGCTGCACCTCGAATCCCAGGGTCAGTTTGGGCCCCTCATGGCAAGAAAGACCCTGAGGGGCTGGAGCGTGTGCGGAGAAGGGAACGGAGCTGGGGAAGGGGCTGGAGCACAATTCCTGTGAGGAGCGGCTGAGGGGGCTGGGGGGTTCAGCCTGGAGAAGAGGAGGCTCAGGGAGACCTTATCACTCCCTACAGCTCCCTGAAAGGGGGGTGCAGAGAGGGGGGTCGGTCTCTTCTCCCAAGGGACAAGCGATGGGACAAGAGGAAATGGCCTCAAGTTGTGCCAGGGGAGGTTTAGGATGGATATCAGGGAAATCCCTTCCCGGAAAGGGCTGTCAGGGTTGGAAGGGGCTGCCCAGGGAGGGGGGAATCACCACACCGGGAGGTGTTTCAGAGCTGTGTGGGTGTGGGGCTCAGGGACATGGTTAGTGGGGGGCTGGGCAGTGCTGGGGTAACGGTTGGACTGGATGGGCTGTAGGGTCTTTTCCAACCTAAAGATTCTGCGTTTCTAACACAATCTAAAAGGGCAAGGTGAGAGTGTGCCACCAACCATATCAAACACCACCTGGAAGATGAAAACAGGAGAGAGATGAAAAGAACAAAGAGATATAAACCAAAGATGGTAAAACCAGCTTCCTCCCTCCACCTAACTGAGCAAAGCCCTTGTTTCCCAGGCAGATCTCAGGCAGCTTTTCACACACTAAACGCAAGCACAGTGTAAGATGCCATGTTCTCTTTTGAAAAGGACCAGAGAGAAGAAGAGACAGACACACCAGGATTTTCTACTGTCCACTAATTTTGGGGCAAGCAACTTTGAACGCCTCATTTCCAGCTTTTAGTAACCCTGGTATGAGTAAGAGTTTAATGAAATATTTTATAGCCAAAAAGAAGAAATTAAAGAAATTTAGGGGTTTTTAGGGTGGGTTTTTTGTGTGGTTTTGTTTGGTTTTTTTTTTTTTTTTAAGGTTATAAAATTTTAACACTTCCTGGGATTTTGGTTTATGCTTTGTTTGGATGTTTTCTGTTAACCTGATTTTAGGCACACTCCATATAGCGTAGGGAAGTTTAAAAACATACAGCTGAATGTTATCTCCACCTCTCGTCCTGCTTTCAGCCTGAACTACTGACCTAGAGCGCACATATCATGAAGCTTCTGGACATCCAGTGTCCTGGTCTCTGAAAATAACCCAATATAATTTATTGATGATAGCAGGGGGGATGATGGTGGATGAAGAGGATGATGTACATTACCCCACTAGCAGTTCTGATAGGCTTGGCCTTCAGCTTTGGCACCAGCACCTTGCGGTACTGAGGTGGAACAGCAGCGATGATGTCAACCAAACGTGGCTGCGCCGCAAGTCCGTACTTCGCTGATGTCTTGGTTTTCAGCCTGAAAGCACAAATGCCTCAAATTGACCATTCCAGTCAGATTTGCGTACACTGCTACTGCATTACAAGGAGATCTAGGCAGGTTATCACAGAATTCCAGGATGGTTTGGGTTGGAAGGGACCTTAAAGTCCCCCAGTGCCACCCCCTGCCATGGGCAGGGACACCTTCCACTAGACCAGGTTGCTCCAAGCCTCATCCAGCCTGGCCTTGGACACTCCCAGGGATGGGGCATCCACAGCTTCTCTGGGCAACCTGTCCCAGGGCCTCCCCACCCTCTGCAAAAAGAATTTCTTCCTGATGTCCCACCTCCATCTCCCTCTTTCCATTTAAACCCATTACCTCTTCTCCTGTCACTACAGGTTCTCCCACTTTGCCTTTCCAGGTAACTTATTTAAAGAGTGTACAGTTATTCCCTATAACAGCTGCACTGCGTATTAAGATACAGAAAATAAATTCCAAATAAAGTTGATGTGCAGCCACTGTCAATGTTTTTAGTTTCTGTATATTCTTCTTCTAGACAGGGTTTTATCAAAACACTGTCAAGGCTGCCCACAGACTCTGCTCATCAATTTTCAGTGACCGAATTCTTTTCATAAGTCTTCCACGCAATTAACCCCTACATACAGTCTGCAGTTACTTCACATTCACGTCACTAATTTCCAGCATCAGCAAAAAGTTTGCTATTATGTCATCTCAATGAAATGGAAACAGTGGGAGAAATCCACGTTTTATTATTCCATATATGTAAAGAAGGAAGATCTTTCTGTAAACAACCACTTCATTTATAACATACTGCTAAGAAAATTTGATTTAAAGCTTATCCGTAAATTAATCTCTCCTTTCCCTGATGGAACTGACTTTGGGGCTACTGGAGGAAGAACACAGGTGCAAACACGAAAAGGCAAGTTTGTTATGAGTTTTTCACCAATACAACCCATTTTTGTACTCCTGAGCGTTGCCAACGATGCAGCAAATCACCCCGGAATTCACAAATCTTGGTGGCATTTTTTTAATGAGGAGAAATGGCAGTAGCCCCTGACTGTAAGACGTTTCAAAATAAAGCCTGAACGTGGGAGGTTGGACAGGGCACTGTTGGACCATCCCAGCGTGACTTACTTGTTCAGATTCACATCTTTTCCTTCCTCATGAGCCTCAATTAATTGCTTGATGATGTCAGCTATCGTCATCATCATCAGCTCAGCGCGGCTGAGCTCCCCTGAAAGAAGAACAAACCAGCACATGACGGGTACAGCCACCGCTTTCTCATCGCTTGTGACAACCGGGCCGCGGCTGCTCGGCGGTCCCTTTTCAGGGTTTCCTGCAGCGGGAATTCAACCACTGCGCCCCGTAACACACGGACAAGGCCGCGGAAGGCGGCAAATCCCAGCCCCACAGTCCCTCCTTCTCCCCCAGCATTCCCAGGGCCGGGGGGGGTAGGAAAGCACTGCCCCACTGCCCCCAGCTCCTGGGAGAGGGGCAGGGGTCACTCTGCCGCCAGCCGCCGGGCACTGCGACCCACACACCCCCCCCGGTACCTTTTTTCTTTTGCTTCATGTTGTCAGCGTGC